GTTGGGCCGTTTACGGCAAACACGTGGTAATGCGTGCACAGCGGCCGCGCCCTCTCCATTATTCCCCCTCCCCTCCCCCCTCCCCCTCCCTTCCGCGGCGGTTATTTTACGGGAGGGTGGGGCGAGAGGCGATGAAGCCCGCGCCGCTGAGGCTTGCCGAGTCAGCTGGGAAAGCACGCTGTCCAGTGTCCGCGACCACGCCCTTGATTGCTCCTAATGCCCCTGATCGGTCCTAACGACGGCCTCTCGCGGCGCCCAGCACAGACAGCACAGGAAGCTGCCGGGCGGCTGCCTCAACCGGCAACCGCAGGTGGAGAATCAATGCGCCGGAAATAAAATACACTTCTGTTCGCGATGTGGCTGTGAAGGTGGGCTGTGGGAGGTAAAAGACGAACACGGTATGAATGAAACTAGGAGAAGGGAAGCGATGATGAAGGCGGGGGAGGAATAAGACATGGGGAGACGAAAAAGAAAGGAAGGGAATAGGCTGAAAAAATGAAGATGGGAGAGGAATGACTGGAGCATAAGAGTGAAGATGATAAGAGGGAATGAGGAATGAAAAGAGGGAATGAAGATGAAAGAGGAATGAAGGAATGGAAAGAGCGAGAGGAATGCAAAGGGGGAAATGGAGAGGAATGAGAGTGGAATGAAAGAGGGATGAAAGGGAATGAAAAGAAGGGGAATGCAAAGGAATGAAAAGAAAGAGAATGAAGAATGAAAGAGGAAGATGGAACTGAAAGGGAAGAAAGAATGGAGAGGGAATGAGGAAGGAAAGAGGGAATAGAAATAAAGAATGAAAGAGAAGAGGGATATGAAGGATATGAGGATGAGGTAATGATTTTTAATTAACTCATGTGGTGCTTGAACAGCACATACCTTTCTCAACATTATTTATACATTTGTAAATTTTCGAAACTTCAGAGCGTTCCAAGCTAACAATGAGACCTCTGCCGCATTCTAGTAAGCACACCTTCTTTTACTCGTAGAAAATCGTATTTAGAGAAAAATAGTGAGTTTAAACCATTTTTAGAATTGCCTATATTATTGCACTAAATTACACGAAAAACCCGTATTATTTGAAAGATATAATAGGGCTTAATGAGAAAAATTTAAGATGCATAAGGGAAAACAGATTCATTTTTAAACAATCGCCACATTCTTATATTGTATTGTTCGTAAAGGAATGCCGGCCTTATTGTAGCGCCATATTATGGTTTATAAGATGTTATGTCAGCGGTCACAAAGCGTAGTGATTTCCGTAAAATGAGAGTTCAATCTGTAATACGTTTTGGCAATTTGTTAACGGTGACTCGATTAGTATTTCGTTTTATAGCTATGAACGAATTTTAGTCAATATGTAAAATGATTCACATAGTACTGGGTCTATTTGATTTAACTTTTATGAACTTCATGAGTCATTTGAATTGGAAAGAGACAAAAGCTACAGTTAAGTGTTCAGAAGCAAGAGAAAGAAAGCCATGTAAGTGTAATTTGACTCGAGGTGAATTAATTAAGGGTCTGCAAGGTATATTGTTTGAGTTAATGTGGCTTATATATAGTTGTTATGTTGTCGCACAATTATAACTACATTAGAATAAAATCCGTTTTATATATATATAGAAGGGAACGCAAGGATTAAAATGGGGGAGGTATTCTTCCATTGCGGTCTGTGAATAAGAATGTTAAGTAGCCTAGAAGTGTACTCTGATATGACATGCAAATATTAGGGTGTGAAACTGCAGGGAAAAACTCAAAAAATCACTTAAACATTGTGAGCAGTATATCGTGTGCACAAATGAAGATTGGCAACTGTGCAAAAAACTGAGTTAAACTTAACTCAAGGCGCCAGATATTCTTTCCGGAAATATTATCAATCGGGGGGGACTTAAACTTGCCAGGTCGATGTCTATTGAAAGGTGTCGCCGAAGCTTAGGGGTATTTCCCAATCTTTTGTAAACGAGTTGTGTGGATTTAATGGTTTAGTGCAGGTAGATAGACACACCACGACGGCGCAGCGGAACTGCCGGATGTATTTTTAGTCCGACCAGGAAAAACTAGTTATTGCTCACGAAAATTAATACCAAGGTATAAAGTGACCATAATGTGTGATTGCTGTCTTGTGAACGGGGAAAAAAAAATCGAGACGAATCACGAAAATCAGTTATTTTCTGTACGAAAAAGCAGATATAAAAAAATGGATTCCAAGAATATTTACGGGATAATTATAGGGGGACTTGGCGGGCTTTCATTGCGGACGGAACATGAGGGAAATATGGAATTCCATTAAGAGGCGTAATTTTAACTGCTCCGTGATGTTTTGTTTTCCAGCCAAAAACTTACTCAAGGAGAACAGCGGATCCGATATTTACTTTACACGTCAATATTAAGAATGATCTAAAGGAGACAAAGTCAGGAAGGGCTTATTATGCAAACCGTAAAAAGAGGCGATATTCACTTATGGACATTTAGAATACAGGGCAGATTGTCAAAAAATGTTACATTACCAGAGAAAAAACGAACAGCTCAAAGAGAATTTCTTCCGTTAAAATACTAAGTAATGGAACGTACTAGTTGTGGCAGGGTTCTATAAATACGTAAGGCAGCAAAGCGGGAAACCAAGAATCTATTTTACCTGCATTTAGAATATAAATAAATTGTTGTGTGACAGATCAGGGAAAAAGCAGAATGTTTTAATTGCTATTTGCAATCAGTTTTTGGGGAAGCGGTTAGTCATTCCGGAAATTACTGAGCCAAACGAGCCGAGAGTTTTCAGACAGTCAAGGATTATTCGCAAGCGGTAAAAGCTAGAAATTTCTCTCTGGCGCGGCTGCCTCAACCGGCAACGCGGTGGAGAATCAATGCGCCGAATAACGAGGTCGCGAGTGGGTAATGGGTGGTTGGCGAAGGGGATAAAAGAGAAAACGGATGAATGAAAGAGGGAAGGGAGCGATGAACGAAGGCGGGGAGGGATAAATGAAAGGGGGAACAAAGAAGGAAGCGATGAATGAAGGCGCGTAGGGATAACTGAAAGAGGGAACGGAGAAATGAAAAGGGAATGCGAAATGAAAGAGGGAATGAAGGAATGAAAGAGGAAATGGAGAAATGAAAGAGAGAATGGAGAAATGAAAGAGGGAATGGAGAAATGAAAGAGGGAATGGAGAAATGAAAGAGGGAATGGAGAAATGAAAGAGGAAATGGAGAAATGAAAGAGGGAATGGAGAAAGGAAAGAGGGAATGGAGAAATGAAAGAGGGAATTCAGAATTGAATTGGGGAATGGAGGAATACGAGTGGAAGTCGGTTAACTAAAGATGGAGTAGAAGATTGAATGATGTAAGAGCTGAAATATTTTAAAACTAGTGGTGCTATAACAGCACATACTTTCTCACACTATGTATACATTTGTAAATTTTCGAACCTTCAACGAAAGACAGAGCGTTCAACGAAAATGAGACCCGTGCCATTCTAGTAAGCGCACCTTCTTTTACCCGTAGAAAAATTTAAAGCAAAATCTGTTTTCGAAAAAAGAATGTTAAAACTTTATTTATTGCCTCTATTTTGCACCAAATTACACGAAAATCCGTATTTTCGAAAAATTAAAGGCTAAATGAGCGAATACGAAACAGATTTCATTTTAAAAAAATCCCCATCTTTAATATTACAGTTGTAAGAAGCCGCCTTACAGTAGCCGCCATATTATAGTTGTAAGATGTTGCAGCGGTCAGAAACGTGTGATTTTCCGTAAAATAAAGTTCAATGTGTAATACGTTTGGCAATTTGTTACGGCGACTCAAAGTATTTCTGTTTATTAGTTAACGATTAGCAATATTAAAATGATCACATAGTACTGGGTCTATTTATTTAACGTCAAGAACTTCATGTGTCATTTGAAAGAGACAAAAGCTACTAGTGTTCAGAAGCAAAGAAAGAAGCCATGTAAGTGTTTGCTCAGTGAATAATTAAGGGTCTGGCAAATATATTGTTTGAAGTTATTGTGCTTATAATAGTTGTTAGTTGTCGCGCTTATAATGCATTAGAATAAAATCCGTTTATAATATAACTCATACAGAGTGATTAAAATAAACTTATAAACTTCTTTAGCTTGCTGAAGGATCAGAAATAATTTTGCTAGTCAATATGTGATGGGATATTTTATGTAACGAAGTTAATGTGGCATTTGCTCCTGATAGGAAGGGAACTCCTCATATACCACTCTTGAACATGCACACGAAA